ATCCTTATTGTTGACGACAAGGCAGAGAACCTGTTTTCGCTCCAAAAAACCCTTGAGTCGCACAACCTGGATGTTGATACTGCTTTTTCGGGTGAAGAGGCACTCAAGAAGATCCTTAAACATAGTTACGACCTGATCATCCTGGATGTACAAATGCCGGGCATGGATGGCTTTGAGCTGGCAGAAACCATCTCAGGCTATAGCAAGTCGAAGGACATTCCTATTCTTTTCCTGTCTGCTATCAGTAAGGAAAAAAAGTTTATCACCAAGGGGTATGCCTCCGGCGGTATGGACTATATTACCAAGCCGGTAGACCCGGACATCCTCCTGCTGAAAGTAAAAAACTTCATCCGCCTTTCGCGCCAGACACAGGCTTTGAGCAATATGCAAAAGGAGCTGCAGGCGGAGATTGAAATGAGGAAAAAAGCACAGCATGAGCTGGATACCCTGGTACACCAACTGGAAAAAAAAGTATTGGAACGGACACGTGAGCTGGTCATCGCCAACCAGGACCTCGAGTCCTCCAATCATGATCTGCAACAGTTTGCCTCGGTAGCTTCCCATGACCTGAAAGAGCCGCTTCGGAAAATACAAATCTTCAGCAGCATCCTCAGCCAGAAAGCCCAAAAGAGCGACCCGGGTATGATCGATTACCTGGACCGCATCACCACGTCGGCCAACCGTATGGAAGGCCTGATACATGACCTGCTTAACTTTTCCAGGCTGTCAATGGACGTCTTGTTTGAGACCGCCGACCTGAACCTTATTGTCCGGGAAATTCTTACCGACCTTGAACTCCAGATCCGGGAAAAGAAAGCCATTATTGAAGCGGCATCCTTGCCGGTGATGGACATCGTGCCGGGACAAATGAGACAAGTATTTCAAAACCTGATCAGCAATGCCATTAAGTTTTCCAAACCAGGTGTGGAACCCAAGATCAGTATTGTTGCCAGTCGCGTAAAAGGCATGTCTTTTGAGAGCGAACCGGCTGAGACCGGGACTTTCTGCCGCATCACGATTACCGACAATGGCATTGGCTTTAATGAACAATACCTCGACCGGATCTTCACCATTTTCCAGCGGCTTCATTCGCGGGAAGAGTATGAAGGTACCGGCATTGGCCTGGCCATTACCCGCAAGATCATTGACCGGCACAATGGTATTATTACCGCCAGAAGCAAGGAAGGGGAAGGCGCCGCTTTTTCGATTGTATTACCCATGCAGCAGGGCAACCGCCGGTAATATCAAAGCAGCCATCCTTAAAATAAAACAATCGGCTAACCCTCCAATAACTACAACAAAAAAACAGCAACAACCCGCCAAACCCGGCGCCCCATAAAACAACACGAATGAAACAGCATATCAATCGCAACCTGATAGCCGGCTTCAGCTTTTCACTGCTGTTGCTCATTATCTCCTCAGCAGCATCCCTGTTTTGCATTAGCAACCTGGTACGCAGTTCCGAAAAAGTAGAGCATACGAATTTAGTGATCCAGAAACTGGAAGACTGTATTGCGGCTGCCAATACCGCAGAAACAAACCAGCGTGGTTACCTGCTTACAGACAATGCCCAGTTTCTGCCAACCTATATTGC